CCACCAATAGGAAAATCGTCAAATCATTCTGCTAAAGCAACACTTAAGTAGTTTTATGGGAATCATTTGGATGACCGAGTCAAAGGTCCAGACCTAAAAAAACGAATGACAATCTTTGGTTAAACATAAAAAATGTTGTTCATAAGCAACAACATCCAACATGAACAAGCTAGAGCAGTTTCACCTTCAGAAATGGTGAAATATTCCAGTGACAAGATATAAGCACCTACTTATTCAAATCAACTTGGAGCTGAAATTGCAGTTAGACATGTTGAAATTGTCTATTGTTCTCTATGGTTCTGTTTACACTTCACAATAACACACATAATATATCTTCAAAGTTAAATGGACAGAAAAGAGGAAAAGCTAAAACAGTTTATTTCTGATCTGAAAAACTCTTTTATTCTTAAACATTGTTACAAAAAAAAACAATATTTATAACAACTTATCACCAGCAATTGTGAGTTTAAATAAACTTTGTGAGCGAAAATCTCAGACAATAAATTGTAAGACAAGTAATTAGCTAATCATTGACTTTATCCCATTTGAAGGAAGATATTTTTCGTCAGAGTGGTTCCTCAGCGACGGCAGGAGGCGGGTTTGGCCAAACTTGATTCACTGCTCTTCATCCAAACAGAAGTAGAAGCACGATGCAGACTGAATTTACTCCTATAAGCGGCACTGCAGGGGGACATGGATAAGGACATTATTTAAAGGAACAATTAACACCTTCAATGGAGATCTTGTATAAGTTCCTGGGTCTAATAAATGATCAGGATGCACATTTTTTTCTCTCCAGCTTTTAGCTGCCTTATCGAACAAATAGAAATCTATCTCCCTTTAATTCAGTTCAGTTTATTACACCCTTTAGGGGAGTTTTGGGTTTTAAATGCTAATTCAACGAGTATTTTTGTATACACTGCATTTGCTGAAATCACTTTATAATCCAATGTTTTGTTTACCAGCATGTCAAGATGTATTATTTATTAGATTTATTGATCTCACAATGGAGAAATTTACCTCTGCATTTAACCCATCACCTTGGGGAGCAGTGGGCTGTACTTTTATAAATTTGAATTCTGAATATGAGCGGACTTTTCCTTTAAACCAAGCCACACACAGACCTTTTTTGTGTGACTTCACTATATTTAAATTTCACTTCCGTAAAGCTTTAAGCTTAAAAACATTGAGGGCTGTTGTCTAAACCTATAGAGACGAATAGACCAAATTTTATTTAATTTAAATAATGACATTGTTCATAGGAGAGAGATACAGCAAATGCTTTTTATTAAACCTCTGGGTTATCTACATGTTGCTGCCAATTTATAATCCCAGGCTCGGATTAGCCAAGTCTTTTTTTCTGAAGAAATACATCTTTCAGATCCTTACAATAAATAAATTTAAAAAAATCAACGATATTCATCCAAATGATTAAATATATTATGTATAATTTTAATGGAACTCTTTAAAAGAGCCACTAAGTGGCTTAAAGAAGGAGCAGGCACCTCTCATCACTGTCCTCACGGAGCGGATCAGGTTCATCAGCTGGACTTTGATGCCTGGTTCATCACCGAACCCCCCAACACTTTGCTCCACTCCCCAGCCGACTAAACAAGGTGGAGAAACACACCGAAACAAACAAGGTTATGATTCTGTAGCATCCTGCTAGCTGGTCACAAAGATAAGCGATCACATCCTGTTTAGGAGGCTAGCACCGGCTAGCTAACAGCTACAGGCAGCTGGTTTGCTTCCGAGCTACTTACTTTTACTGAGAAATCTTTCTTCGTGTAGAACAGCAACGGCGTTAATACACAGAATGGCTGCTTGGATTAGAGAGTACAAAGAGAATGCCATAGTAGGTATCCAGCAGTTCCCTGCAGCCTAGCCGTTTCTATTTACCTATGACGTGGAGTACGGTGGCCGAGAATGGGAAATACTCCCAGCCGTCTAATCGCGTTCGTCTCTGTTCGCATTTTCTTTGGTTACAGTTTGTACAAGCATTTGTAGTCAGTAATTTTTTTTCTGTGCTATTTTGAAATAAAGGGAAATATATATTTTTTTTTTAATGTAAAAATATAAAGATTTAAAGTGTTGAATCCATTTGTAATCAGCACCCTTTATAGTTTATATCCACTGTGCTTATAAATTCCCCTAATCTACCTTATAGATTCAGCCTCATTATAATGTTTCAAAGGCCTCAGAGGTTCAGAAAAAAATAAAAGGCAAACAGCATGATTAAGACCAAGGAACAAATGAGACACCTGTAAAGTTTAAAGCTGGGTTAGGTTCTATTACTATATACCAAGCTTTGAACATCTCTGAGACCAAAGTAAAAACGATCACCTGAAAGTAAATCATGGTATAACTGTTGTTTTCCTACAGTCTAATTAAAAGTTGAATGACATTTTAAAGGCTTACAATTTTTGCTTATGGCATAAACAATTAATTAGTTATGGAAATAATCTTCAACAGATTTGGAAATGGCGTGGTTGATTGTCCCCCTGTAGAAATGGTTTTGGCCCCTGTTATGTCTCCTGCACTGAAAACACACACAGCAAAAATGTTAATGAATAATTAGGTAAACGTTGGAAATGTATTTTCCCATGTATTAAGACGTTAAAATCTCCTCTCCTATCCTGGCTTCTCTTCATTGGCTTCCCGTTAAATCCAGAATAGAATTTAAAATCCTCCTTCTCACATATAAAGCCTTAAATGGCCAAGCTCCATCTGATATCAGAGATCTGATTGTTCCTTATTTTCCTAACAGAGCACTTCGCTCTAAATCTGCAGGTTTACTAGTGGTTCCTAGAATTTCTAAAAATAGAATGGGAGGCAGATCTTTTAGTTATCAGGCTCCTCTCCTGTGGAACCAACTACCAGTTTTAGTCCGTGAGGCAGACACCCTGTCTACTTTTAAGACTAGGCTCAAAACTTTCCTTTTTCATAAAGCTTATAGTTAGAGTGGCTCAGGTTATCCTGAGCTATCTCTATAGTTATGCTGCTATAGGTTCAGACTTTTGGAGGACATAGGGACCCCCATTTCATCATTCCGTCTCTATTCTTTCAATCTGCAGAATCTGTTAGTTCAATCTCCAACATTCTGCTCTCTCTGCTTTTCCTCAGAGTAGCTTTTCCTCGTCTGTTCTTGTTTGGCCGTGACTCCATCCTGGAGAGAAACATCAGCTGTGCTGCTTCCATCAACACCCTTGTTTATAGATGCTGGAGATCTGCCTGTTTTCCAGTGTAGTCCTGTTTCTCTGGCTGTGACTGGCTGGATGTGCTCTCTTCGTCCTCTGGCATGGGAGCTGGCTCGGAGCTTATCTGCCTGGCTGTGTGTTTCCTGGACGGGGCCGCCTTTTACAGCTGCTTTTTGTATCTCTGCTTCTGCCTCCTTGAACCCCAGTCGGCCTCGGCAGATGGCCACTCACACTGAGCCTGGTTCTGCTGGAGGTTTCTTCCTGTTAAAAGGGAGTTTTTCCTCTCCACTGTCGCTACAAGCATGCTTAGTGTGAGGGATTGTATTTGAGTCAATGCAATCAACTGGTTTTCCTTAGATAGAAAACTTTGAATCAATTTGACTGTATGATCTGGTTGGACTGTAAAGTGCCTTGAGATGACATGTGTTGTGAAATTGGCGCTATATAAATAAACTGAATTGAATTGAATTAAAAGAATGTGTAGATGGAATAAGGTGACTTATTTTTTCCAATAAGAAAAAGAAACCATCCATATCATTATTTTAAGTAATTATATACATTTAAAAGCAAAAATACTCATTCATTTGGCAGGTCATCTTATTTACAATTTATGGAAAATTTCAAGAATATTTATACTTTGGATCAGCTGTTGCAGTGTAAGTCTAAATCAATTTCTTATGATATGCGTTCAGAGACTGTTACTGATTCATCCATTGGACCTATTTTTTTATTAACTGTAGCAATTTCCTTTAACAATTATTTAGAAATTGCAGTTTTACAGCTTTAGATTTACGAAGATAGGATCACAGTTTTCATCTTTGCAGCCGTGGCTTAGCGGCTTAACGTTTTACTAAACAATGTGCTCTTACCCTTGCTTCTCTGTGTGTTATTCTATTGTTCTGTGCTTCCATGACAAAACACAGGCCCCTCCCTGGCAAATATCATCTAGACTGTAATTTTCCTTTTTATAAACTAGAGCCATTGATAATTTAAAGTGTGCCATAAATGTTTATACTTTAAACAATATTTTTCATTAAGGGTAATTTACAAAAAATATATTTTTAGATTGTGTACAAATATAACTAATAGGCGCTGAACTATTTTTTATGAATATCTACAACAGGAAGTGCATTTTAACACAAATACAAATACAAAATGTTATGTGACAAAAAAAACAAAAAAAAACTTGCACATCAATTTGAACAAAGCATCCCCACTACTGGACAGGGTACTGCTGGCATCCTGCCATGGAGAAGCTTTTATATCAGCGGGTAGAGAGAGGTTGCCAAGGAGATGGATGGCAAAAGCCTTAAGGGTGAGGGAAAAAGAAATAAGCAGTCTGAAGATATGTAAAGCTAGTAGTCAAATGACACATGAGGCAATAAAGGCTTATAAACAAAAGAAATTAGTCCTACACAATTAGAGTGGGACTGAATTTGTCATTTAAAATTTAGTTCAGTCTGTGTTGCAAAATGCAGTATCCATTAAATGTTAAAGAAAAAAAGTACATCTTCCGTTAGCATTGAAGCTCAAGCTGTAAATTGTTTAAATAATTAGAAATCAAAAGTAATTGTATAAAATTACAGATATTAAGCCTTTATATTTAACTATACAAATGGAGTATCAAATATTAGCATTATCTCTGTCATGTAGGTCACAGAGAGGATTTAAGTGCAATCTGTAATGATTGTAACAAACAACACAAGACCCAATATTTGGAATGTATAGTAAACATCTCAACATATTTATCAATGTGCAAATAATTCAACAGTAAACTGAATTCAATCAATAAACACTGCCAAGTTAATGAGAATAAAAATCTTTATTAGTGTTTTATGAAGTCTGCATAATATGCCACACGCCTGAGAAGCTCATGGTCAAAAAAAACAGAAAGAAAAAAAAAAGAACTCTATCAATACCGCCCCCTATTGGTAAAACAACTGCGACTTCTACAGTACTGACTGGTTTGCAAAAAAGATAACTGTTAAATACACACATAATGTACTACTTTTATGCATATGCACATCTGGTCCACATTGGTTTTTGTATTGTATCTTTTTTTCACATTCATATGTTGTAGGCCAAAGATAAGAACAATGTAACACTGGACCCAAACAAAAGGTTCAGTTTCCCCAAATATCCAAAATTCACTAGGTGCACTTCAAGTACAATCTCTAGTGCCATATGGTAAACACATGTACATTAACAGATGAAACTGGGGACATATCAAACTTGCAACAACCAAGTAATGAGTTTAAGGTAGTAAGTTTCGTTGTACAAGCTGTCCTTTAAAGACTGAACGAACACAATACGCACATTAATACATAATGTCCCAGTGTGCAGGCACATTCACTCCCATCCAGGTTAGCTGTAACATTTTAAAAGCCAATTTTGTGTTTGAGTCTAACTTTCTTGACAAAGCACTGAAAAGTCAAAGGAGGACAAATGTGCTTGGACAAAAATTACAAAAGAGAGAAAAAAAACTGGAAAAAGCAAAACTTAAACCATCTAAAATATCACAAAGAATTGGATTTAAACTTTCGGTCACAGCTGTTTTGCACCAGATTTCGTTGGGGGGAAAAACACAGAGGCTATATATAGGCTACATAAGGGCAGTGATTACTTTGTTTCTCTTCACTGAGATGAAGATATGCCATAAGAATTTGGGATAAAATGTAGGAATGATCTAATCTCTGTCATTTTAGAAATTTCTAAGCTTTTAAAGTATTTTAATAAAAAAGAGGATGACAGAAATTAATATATATAAAAATACACACAAATACAAAAAGTAGCAAAACAATCTGGATGTTGGCTATGGACAAAACAAACTCATTGACGCCTTCAAAAATCATCTGATGAGGCCCTGAATGCTTCGCCTTAGAGCTCAAAGAGTCCCAGTGTTGAATCAAAAAACACCAAAACGGCAAAGAAAGAAGCTTTTTGATACCTCCTGATATTTTCTGGTCCCTGCCCAGCGTGCCCTGTAGAACCTGGCTGATAGCTATAAAACCGGGCAAATATTTTTGGATTCAAATCAGCTAAAAGACTGAGGTCCCATATGACGACCAAATGAAAAACAAAAACAACCAAAATAAACTACAGCCAGTCTGATGTGCAGTTACTTTAGAGCTTTGGAAATATTTATTTTACTAACATTCCTATATGTCTATTTTGAAGGTATGTCTTAGACCGACACACTGCGTCAGTTAAAAAAGGGGCCATTGTGGCAGAGGTGATTGAATTAAATTTTATTAACACATTGTGGTATTTCCTTCAGGAGAATAACGGCAACAAAGGCCATAATTTTTTTCATAAGCCATCCTCCTTCAACAAGAGATAGGGCCCCAAGTCTCCCATAGAGAAGTAAACTTATTTCACAACAATGGTTGTGGTGGGCTGGAACAAAAATCACTTCAGCATTCAAGCAATCTTTAACACTGAGAACCTATTCACAGATATTTTTGGTATTTCCTCTATTTCCCAGACAACAACCAATATACATTTTATTTGTACCACAAATAGATCTAGTATTAAGGATTTGGGGCAAAGCAATTTAACAAGGTGCAAGACATAGATGGGTAACAAAGTGCCAATCTCCTTTTTTTTTTTTTTTTTTTTTTTTTTTCAATAAAAACATCTGCATGTGTTTATAAGCATGTGGAACTGTGTCGATGCATTTGTTCCTCTGCAAATGTGTGTATCAAGTTAAAACTGGGATGTGGAATCAGGCCACAAATACTATGAAACATTTCACAAAAGCAAATTCTGGTATGGATTTTTTTTCCAGTTTGGAGTGTAGTCATCTTTGTAATGGGCTTATTTTGGGTCTTTTTGTTGTGGTTTAGGACATACTGGAGCAGCGTGCAGATGGTGAGCCCATCTGGGTCAGAACTTTGTCCAACCACTGAAGCGGGCCGTTCAGATGCAGTTCGATCCAGCATGGAGTACTTGTGACAGTTTGCCGCCTGGAAAATAAAAGAAACATTCAGTTTGGGGTTTTGCCACCATTACATCATCTGACGTTTAGATCAGAGGTCCTAAACAAGGGGATCATGACCCCCTAATGGGCTGCAGAGATATTGCAGCGAGGTAAACCATAAATTGGACCGAGGTCAGCCTTGTTTGCTTTGCTGTGTTTTATCACAAATAAATCAGGGATAATAAAATCTGCAATGTTGGATTAACTGCCCTTAAAAAAAAGCTGTCTACCTACTTAAAAAAATATTAAATTATTTTTATTTTCTGTACAAACATAATTTAATATGAAAAATTTACTTAAATCAAGATTACAGTGTAAATTCTTAGAATAATAAGTTAAATTATCCAACCCATCTAAATAGATATTTTTTTTGTGGTAGGAACTAAAAAGAAAATGCTTTTGTGTGTTAGCTAAACATGGATCTTTGACGAAAACATAAAGAGTCATTTGTCATTCGTTGATGGGATGAGACAGAATAAAAACATTAGTGGGTGGCCTGTCAGGCATTAAAAATGCATCATTGTGTTGTAATCGGTTAGACAAGCTAAGCAGTATCAGCCGTGCTGCTGCATCCTGGCTGCAGTGCACATTCTGCATGACCACAGATGGACAGTGGCAGCAGCAGGGGTGAAAGTAATCCAGAATGGTCCAGTACAGTATGCACAACTCTGAAAACTTTGAGCTAGCATGCAGACAGTGATGCATTTCTGCACAAACACAGCTGGAAGAGCAGAGTCGGCGCTTTACGATCCACATTGATGGTTGGCTCTCAGCAGTATGGCTCTTCATTCGCTACTTACTAAACTATATCAGGCCGATTATCCTTTGCTAAGCGTAAAAAAAAAAAAATCCTTTTTGTCCGACTATCAGGATTTTATTTCTTTCAGCTCACAAGAGGTGTTGCTAAACCTCCTTTAATTGTATCCAAAGCAAATATTTAATTGCACACTATTTATTTTTGGATAAAGCCCCAGATGAAAGGGTACAAAGATCTTTGAATATTTCTCTCTCATAGTTCTTGTTTCTATCCATTTGAATATGATGTGAATGTTTCTTTGTACTGTCTTTAAAGCATTTTCTCTTTTTCCTTTGAATATTTCAACGTTTTAGGTAACATATTTTAAAAAAATTTAGGTCTGGATTGCTATGAGAATACAAGGCAATTATGTAGGTTCTCTTTGTATTAGGGTTATCAAAAGTATCGAAACTCAAAAAAGTATCGATACTGAAATGTTGTATCCGGATACAATACTCGTTTTTAAAAGTATCGATACAGTGCTACCACCAGTGGCACCTAAACAGTCATTCATCTAAAGTGCAGAATAGAGGACAATGCACTTTCAGAACTCTGTATGATTGAATAATTCTACGCATTTTTCAGTTTCAGACTTTTTTTGTGACAGGTGCAGCTGCTGAGAATTATTTTTGCTTCTTAACCGGTTTGGCTAGTGTCATTGTTATGTGTGCAAAGCATAGCCAAGGAAGGAACACTTAATTTGAATTTTATAAGTTTTTTTATTGAGCTTGCTTAATATTGTGCACGGCATACAACCTTTGTTGTATTTTATTTATTAATGAAAATATTTCTGTAGAATTTTGGAGTCTTTGTTTTTATCCTTGTGGTATCGAAAATGGTATCGAGTATCGAATATTTTCCTTAGTATCGGTATCGAGTTGAAAAGTTTAGTATCGTGACAACCCTACTTTGTATTGTTTTATATCAAGTACCTATGAATTTAAATCTAGTTGTTTGGCTTCTTCGTTAGCCTGCAATGCCCCATACCTATCTATGTCTCTAAAAGGGGGTTGTTAAAGGGAGTTGTTGGCCTTGCTGAATAAGGCTCGCTTTGAAACATCTTCAAACTTAAAAAAAGTCCAGTGGATTCTTTTTTTTTGTTTTATTTTTTGGAGAAACTGTTAAACTATTCCTTTGTTATACATTTATTTAGCTTGTCTGTCTGCTGTTTCAAACAAAATATGACATGTTGAACTAGGTCAGTTATTTTCACAACTTCTGTGAAACACTTTTGTATAAAGTAGGTAGGGTTGTCAAAAGTATCGAAACTCAAAAAAGTATCGATACTGAAATGTTGTATCCGGATACAATACTCGTTTTTAAAAGTATCGATACAGTGCCGTCACCAGTGACACCTAAGCAGTCATTCATCTAAAGTGCAGAATAGAGGACAATGCACTTTCAGAACACTGTGTGATTGAATAATTCTGTGCTCTTTTCAGTTTCAGACTTTTTTTTTGTAAGTGGTGCAGCTGCTGAGAATTAATTTTGTTTCTTAACTGGTTTGGCTAGTGTGATTGTTATGTGTGCAAAGCATAGCCAAGGAAGGAACACTTAATTTGAATTTTATAAGTTTTTTATCAAGCTTGCTTAATATTATGTACAGCATACAACCTTTATTGTGTTTATTTATTGTATTTTATTTATTAATGAAAATATTTCTGTTGAATTTTGTCTTTGTCTTTGTTTTTATCCTTGTGGTATCGAAAATGGTATCGAGTATCAAATATTTTCCTTAGTATCGGTATCGAGTTGAAAAGTTTAGTATCGTGACAACCCTAAAAGTAGGGCATTAATTCATAAAGATTTTATTGGATTTATAGAAATCAGTGTCTGCCAAACAGCAATAATGAACTGCATGGCAGCATCAACTGTAGTATCTAGGAAATAGCTGTCAGTCTGGTTGTTATTGAAAATTTTAAAGGTTAGCTGTTCTTTGAAGTGCAACATAAAGCTAACTAAAACTAGAAATGTATAATTTGGAACGCCATTATGTATTTGGTTATAAAATGTACAGTTCTCCTCCACAAAATTAGAAGCTGAATAAAAGAAAAATGTTTATGATCAGGCACACAGCCATTTTTGGGGTATGATGTCCAGTACTTTATCATTTCAACTTATGTAGTGTACCACCCCCTGTGGTTCTGGAGAGTACTGCTACAATGTCTGATTTAGGACCATAAGCTATAACTGTTGCAGCTTTACCACTTTCCACTAACACTGGATCAAATTGAAAAAAGTTTTCCCAGTAAGTATGAATTAAAATTACCAGTGTAAGTGAGGCAGAGTCTTATTCTGATTGTAATGAATGTCGTTTGAGAAACATCTCACCTATACTCAGCTCCCCAACCTTTGACAAAGCTCATTCGAATGGTGCACATCCTGGTGAGCTGGTAGACGGCCTCAAAGCCCTGATTGACTGACTGAGCCAGTAGGGCTGCAAATTCCTGGTTGTTGAAGATTTTTAGATTACAACCTGAAAGAGAACAAGCAGACTATCAGTTTAAGAAGTGAAACATGTCGAAAAACATGCAAATCTGTGGCCAGTTCTGCTCAGCGAGTTTAATGAGATTTCATTTGACAACTTTTCTGATCAGTGTGGTTAAAAACAAAATATTTCAAAAGAATTTTTATAGTTTAGTAAATTCCACAAAAAGAACTCATTTGAACACTACATGGTGCTATTTTCAGCCTCTTACCTGGAGGAATTTTACACACTGTTGCTGGATGCCAGCCATAGCGCTGGTTGCAGTTTGGACTCTGTACAAAGATAGCACTATCACTCAAGCATTCAGCAAACACCTCGCCTCCAATATAGTACAGTCTAACTCCTCTTCCTGTAAAAACAAACAAACAAACAAACAAAAAATATCCAAGAATGATTATTAGAAATATAAATAATGTATAAACATGTACAGAGAAGTTCTAAAGTCTTTAAAGAATTCAATCCCTCGGTCGTAGATTGTTATAGAACGTAAACCTAATTCTGAACATATAAAAGAATGAAGAAAAATCACTCATTGTAATTTTCTAAAAAACATTGGACAATACTTTGTTAAGCAGTGTTTTGGTGACATATTTTAAAGATTCTAGCAACAAGTTATTAAAAAAACAAAGACAAAAAAAGGTGACCAGAATAAAAGCATTAATTTCACAGAAAGAAAAATATACATGTAATTGTTTCATAAATGTCGACAGGTTCAATTTATATAAATATAAATATGGTTACTATAACTGTCTTTCCATCCAACTGAAATACACATTTTAAGAAAACCTTTAAAAGTTTATACAAAAAAAATAAAATAAAAAAAGCAATGCGAATTTGCGGTATTTCCCTTAACCAAGCAGTGCAAAGTGTAATATTGTCATAAGTCGTTGTCCGCATTACATCAACCAACTGGCTTCAACCAACAAAAACTACAGGCTGCAATCCAGCACTGATCACAGATCAGCAATGGAGGAAAGTTTAACTAAATGTGTGGCGATCAGGCAAGGCCATCATATTATAGGAGCATCCAGGAAGACGTCGACAGCTGATGGGTCATGTGAGGTCATTTTTGCTATTTTAGAGCTGATACAAAAAAAGCTTTCCCATCTTGCGTTTTGCGCATTAACCCTTTTTTTATTATAATTTATCCAAAAAATACCTCAAGCTAGCATTAAAAGCTTTTTTTTGTTGCAAATTTCAGGGAGATTTTTTCCTAATTTTGCAGTGTCTGTCAAGCTTTTTTAAATGTAACATTTCAAAATATGCATTAGAAAAAGCTGATGGAAAGGCACCTGATGTCAACATCAGGTGGAAGGTCGGCACAAGCATGATAACAGACTGCACCATAAAACCTTTAAGCTAAAGGTAACTACACTAGGTTAGTTACATCAAATTGAAGCTGCTGACAGCCGGGCCATACCTATGTGTCGTCGAGTCATCTCCACGGTGGCGTTCCTGTTAACATTAGAGAGCAGTCCGAGGCAAAACCGTTCAGAATTTGATGGGTCTGTGAAGCCATCGACTGTCAACGAAGGCTGAGAAGCGTGGAACGTCTCCCCCACACGTTGGTTGAGCTCATAGTATGCTATAGAGCACCAGAAGGCTGGCTCAGAGTACGTCACTGGCTGCAGGTCTACAGGAAGGGATCACATGAGCTGGTAATCACATTCAGCACGAGATTTCAGCAGTGAACAACTTCCACATGCCATCTGTTTGCAAAATGCTGCTATTTTCCTCATGAAGGCCTTAGTATTAGTACACTCACCCATGCTGTGGTTGACGGGGGACAGAGAGCTGGGAGAAAGTTCTGGTGGTGAACCTGGCAAGGAAAAACAGAAACAATATAATTTTAAAGCAGATGACCACATTACAACCATTGTGTTAGTTTATCATCACTAAAAATATCCCTCTGTGCAATACGGACACAGCAAAGAACTGCTTTGACAGCAATTTGCGTTAGCTTGTTATATTACCACAATACATTTAGGCTCTATGCCTGTAATACATTTGGTCAAGCTTGCTGGTTAATTCAGTATAACATGTTTTAGAAAGTAAAGAGGTAATACGTTTGGGAAAACATTTGAAAATGCCGGCCCAGGTGACAGTATGCTAAAGCAGCTGATGCCGTCAGGAATATCTTCCTCAATGAAAACTATGTGGTTAAGATGGAATATCAAATCTTATTTATTAATTTAACTTTTGCAATAAGTTAAATAGACTTTGTGTTTTATTGAGTTACGTCTGTGTCTTTAAAATTATCCTGAATCCTTGTTACATCTGGACTGAGTCTTTGTACACGCTGTAATAAATTGTAGTGGTGAGTTTTAAGGGAGCAGCCAAACGGACCAACTCATAGAAGTTGGACTGACTAATATGCCTTGAATCCACAGCAAAAAGATTTTATCCCGTTTGGTTTGCTCTCAAATAAAATTGTATTGTTTTCACAGAATTCAATGTTCATTGCAAATGTTTATTGGATCTAATCTTAATATCCTGCAGCTTTTAACAGGTGGGTTCTGTTTTCTGGTTAAAGCCTAAAGGTACCACCAAACTAACCAAAACCCACAGGAGAGGGTTTACCATTCTACAGTACCTGTGTCCATACTTTGATTCATCTGCTGATCACTTGCCTCTCCATCCTCACTGATGTAGCCAGGCGGAGGCGTTTCTGTTGAAAACAACCAGGCTGATCATTTAATACCAACCATTGCGTCCATCACACCAACCAGAGGATGGTGAATTTAAGTTGTAAGCAAATGTAAAAAAAAAAAAAAAAGTTAGGTTTTAAGTGCAGTCAAATCCGTATAGTCCCACCTGGTATATAGTTGTTTGGAGGTTCGATTCCTGCAGGGAAGTTTGTGTTTTCAGGTATGGAATGAGTGTAGTCGTCAAGAGGTGGCAACTCTGACAGGATTTCCGAGTGTCTTGGCACAAGAACAGGAGGCAGCACTAGAGCAGTAGATAAAGAAAAAACTGAAGATGTGAGTTTATTATCCATCTGTGCAAAATACATACGTGTCTAAAGAGTTAAATTTCAAATGATAAAGTTTCTCGTTATGAATGATCCAATAATGTTTCCATCTTTGATAACAATCAGTGAGATTAGATGTGGTATTACCAAGTCTAGGTCTGATTCCTAATAAAGGAAATAAAAATCATTGTCATCAACAGTATGTCCGAAGCTTCTTTGATCATGATGCTCTCACTCAGCTTTGCATTCATTTTCATTGGCAATTTTTCGGATTCTAACATCCTCCTCAAATTTGTTTTTTATTGTGGTAAAAAAAAAATAAAAAAATGCTGATGGTGAAACAAAAAAAAAATAAATAAATAAAAAATAAAAACCCCACCAATAACTCACAAAAACTATAGAAATAAAGATTGAAAAAAAGAAAAATCAAATAAGGATAAAATTGAATTGTGACAACTCCAAATATTCCCCCGGATTAAGATTGCATTTCAAAACCAACTTATGCAGATTGCACCTGAATATGTAGGAATTAGCCGACAACAATCCGTGGCGTTCCTCTCACCTGGGGTCTCCACCCTCTGGTAGTGGTAGGGGTTTATGCACACCTCATCCTTCTTAAGGTGGAAGGCATACTCGCAGGCCTCGATGGCACGTAGCTCGTGGTGGCTGTGAAGGTCCGGCCATCGCCACAAGCGGCAGTAAACAACATGAGGAAGGCCCTTCCTGTGTGAGACCTGCTGACGGCCATCTAAGGATCTGATGGAGCAGCAAATATGATAGAGGGATGAGAGAAACTGTTAAAGGGGAAACAAAATGTTTCCACAGAGACCCCACCAACAGTAATGGACTGAACAGAGACAAGTAGAAAAACAATTAAATAAAAAGCAATATCCTAACAACTCTGACAGTTGTATGCAACATGGCAGAGAGGATAATCACCTGGTTTGGTCGGGGTAGCTGTATAGGCCTGATGTATCCCACTGTTCTATCGTATTCGGTGTACTCAGTCCCCATATTTCAGAGCAATTGCTGTAGAGAGAGGAAAAACATCAACAAAAGAAACAAACAAACATTGTTCATTCAGATACAGCAGTAATGGGGGACTGAAACGAGGCCTCCTTTACTGAAGCTTTGTAGCAAAAGAAAGAGGATCCAGCTGTGGACATAAACTTCATTAGAGAAGGCTTTAAAAGCAAATAAGGAATAAATGCTAAAATAAAAGACAATGTTAGATAAAAAAAAAAGTCTTCAACATTCTGGCATCGTGTTAAATATAAAAATAAGTTCTCCAAAGACATTTACAGTAGTAGCCATTCAAAATTTCCCCACTTTCCTTGATAATTGTTTAGACCCTTCAGTCACAACATCACCGGATAGACTTAATGTTACACTGGGAATCTGTAAAAGTTATTTAAATACCAAGGTTTGGTATCATATAAAGACACTTAAATACTAACATATTGTTTTTTTTTTTTTTTACAAACAGATCATTTTTCAGCACGAGTCGAGCTAATCAAAGGAGACAAAATGGGAAATAAGGTTTTGAAAGTGTGACATATATACTGAATTCTAAAGCCAAACTATCCATTACTATTGTTTGTAGCACATTTAAAATAAATCTTCAACTCTATATGTAGAATAGTCTAATCTAGAATCAGATATATCAAGGTTAAATCACTTCATTTTTTATGGTTTACATATATTTTAAACAGGGTCAAAACTGAAATACTGTTTTATTATTCTACATTAGTCCCATTTTTTCTGACCAATTTTAAGTTTTAAGTCCCAAATCAGATGTTAAATAAACAAAATAAAATAAAAAATAATGAATATTAAATCCTAGAAAATGAATTATTTTTTCTAATTCTGGTTTTACCACTTTTTCAGCTGCTTATCCACTGGTTCTAGTTTAACCTAGTTTACATTCTTTACCATCTGATACTTTATGCAAACAAAAGGTTTAGCGTTGGTCAGCTTAGAGAGAAATTAACCCAAAATAGTGGAACAAGAATTTGCGTTTCTAAAAAATAGGAAAATTGTATCACGGCATTGTGTAGTTTTATAAAGTTGTAGTTTTGAGTTGTGGTGCAGCAGGCATCACATATATGGAGAATATAAGCCTTTAACGCAGCCTTTAGGGTTTCACCCCCAACCTTTGCTGCATGTCCTCCTACTTCTCTTGCATAGAAACTCCAGGCAGTGGAAAAGATTTCTCCTGTTTGCATGTAGCCTAAAATTGCTTCGGTCATCGTATTGTGAGAAGCTAATAGTGGCCCTTGCCAACCCAAAACAAGCCTTTAGCAATAACAATTAGTAGACTAAGTACAGACACATATAAACATTTGAGAGGATTCCTAGAAACTCTTCATTGAGAAACAAATTCTTCCAATGAGCTTTAGTCTGGGTTATCAAGGCTGGCTGGCTGATAAAGAGAACATCTTTCTCTTGGCCTTAATAAAACCTGTCAACTCTGACAACACTGCTGTATTAAAATATACGGCTAAACCTCATCGCTGAAATAATCTGGAGCTTTTTTGCACCCCTGAAGAAATCTTAAGATTTAAGCTTTTGTCCTGACCGCCTTATAGTATTGGAAAAGAATAAGGAAACATAAGAAAGCTTTAAACAAACACATAGAGAGGAACCAAAGTTTTCCTGACGGGTCTGAAAGGTAACTGGGAATCTGCATCTCACCTTGGGATGGTGACACACTTTGTGTTGCAGTTTTGTGTGGTGATAGCTTTCTCCAGTTCCAGCTGACCCGTCTTCTTTAGTTTCTTCACTAGGCTTTTCACAGCTTTTTCACACCATTTCTCCTCTTGTCCGTTCTGTTCACCGCCCCCTGCTAAAGCCGGACCACTTGTTGACTTCCTCCAGCCCAAGAGCCTCTTCACCACAGGAGGGGTGAATGGCAAGATGGACGACATCTTAACCGCTGAGAGTCTCCAGTAGATTTGGTTAAGCTCTCTCTCACCAACAAAGTGGGAACTGGAGCTACAGCTCTGGGCCCTTGCCTTGAGGAGCCCCTTTAGTGAATTGTGAGTCACTGGGTGGGAGCCAGCGCTAGCAGTGTTCAGTCAAAAGATTCAAACACCTTTAAAAAAGAAATAAAAATCACAAAGTTAGAAAGAGCATGAGAATATATTTATAAAAACTATGATATGATATTAGTATTTAAGCAGAGCAACAACCAAATAAAACTACATCCAAGCACAACGTGTTTGTTTACAAGTAAACTACATTAAAAACTGCGAAACATTCGTCAGATCAAATTCAGGTCAAATTGGGAAGTTTGAGTCACAGGTTCACAAAAGCAGCACCCTGTGGTTGTTACAGCTTTGACATACTTTGGATTGTGTTGCAATGAGTGTTTTTAGCTTCTATGTCCAAATGAAATGTTTTGCACTCTTCTTATAAATGATGATCAGCAAGTTAAATAGCTATTTTAAGATAGATAAATAAGCACAGCCTATTTCTTCTAAATTAAACTTATATTTCTCACATTATTTTGAGGCCTGTCGCTCAGCCCTCAAAATAAAAAAATAAACACAATCCTAACGAGAACTGTCCTCAAACAAACACCTGATTGGTCTGATCTCTTCATCTCAATATTTAATTAAAACCTGTCTCTTTAATTAAATATTGATTAATCTGAGTGATTTATCAATAAGACAGAATCACAACAAATGCTAGAGATAACAGCTCGGTTTAAGCAATAAATCAAACCCAATATACATGTTGATGGCAGGTGGCCACGGAGCTTTTCTAAACTTATTAACAAAATAAAATTATTCTTTTCAAAATCTAAAACAGCGTCAGTGCACCGGTGTGGAACTAGACATTAGTTATTAGTCTGTCAGCAGCAGTCCAAGCTAACTGGCTTTTCAGCTGACATAGTTGTAGGACTTTTGTTTTCTATCAGAAATACCAACAGATCCAGAAGAAAACTCAATTGATGCTGCTACCTGACTGTAATCGGACAGTATTATTAGTGACAGGGGCGATAGAGCTTTAATTACCGCCACTGGAGAGGCCCGGCTGTTAGCTACCTGGAGGGGGCCTACTGAACTCAAAACAACATTAGCACTGCTAGCATTAGCTTCCAAAATGCACAAGCAATATCTTTTCAAATAAAGGGTGACGAAGAAAAGCTAAGACTTTTTTCTATCATACACGGCTGATTAACAACAAAAACGTATAGCTAAAGGATCTGACGTTAGCTTAATGGAGCTAGCAGTCAGCTTGTTATCAAAAATCCTTTTGTTATGATCAGCGGAAAACCCTCCCAGTACGCAACAGTCCAGTGCGGCGACAGTTTCACACAAAACCCGGATTATTTAGACCGAGCCTTTTAAACCCGGTCAGTGGTTTTAAATGCAAAGCTGTTTCATTTCAATCCAGCTACCCGTCGACTCCTGGGATATCCATAGCAAAGTGTGTTAGCATCTTGGACGAACTCTTCCAAACTGCTGAGGCTCCCGCTGGCTAACGGAGTAACATCGCCGCAGCTTCAAAACAACTCCATTCCAAGCCGAATAATTAAAGAAAGCATTTAGATAGTTACCCAGGTTTCAAGTCAAGGGAGCCGCTTCAAGAGTGGTTATCGCGTGGAGATATTAAACCCACTAAAATTATCCTTTGGGTGCAGTTTAGAAGCTAAATCATCTAGGGATCCTCTAAAGTTGCTACCAGCGCTACAGTTGGTCGTTAGCTCAGTTAGCGACGCCGGGGAGCATGTTACAAACGTCACAATGACGCAATAACTCCTAATCCATCCCCGCTGAACGACTAAAATAAATATTAATGGTATATCAAAACAAGGAAACAATTGTTTGCAGTATGTTTATTGTCAATCTAACACGCAGTTGTCTATATCTGCAATGTTACAAAATGAAAGAAACCATGTTGGCGATTGGCGATATTTAATATTTTATCTGAGGTAAAATTGTTTGACTTTACTAGGGTTCATTGTAAAGGATCATACATTATTGGTCACGGTCTAAAACTTCATCATACTTTTACCCACGTAAAAGTAAAAAGTATCCTCTAAAAAAATTAAAAAATTAAAAAACTATTTGGAAAAAAGGCTACTCAAGTACTGACAAACTGATGCACTTACTACCAGTTTTTTTTTTTTTTTTTTTACAGTGTCCTGTCTGGCAAGGTGGCAATAAGAATAATTGTCTTGATGCCAAAAGGAGCCCAACAGATTTTACTTTCACAAGTGTAGCGGTATGGCAATTGCCATACTGCTCCACTTGTTTCATGTATATAAATTGCTTTATTATAATTATGCAGGGAGTTTTACAGTTCATATGGACACTGCAATGTAAGTAGAGCAGAAAAACAGAAGAAGAAGAAGGAAAAAGAAAAAGAAAAAAACAGGACAAAAGATGAAAGAAAGAGGAGATAGGAAGGAGACAATGACAAAACATTTTCAGTCTGCTTCAACACCTGTAATGAGATGGAAAAAAAAAAAAAAAAAAAAAAAAAAAGAACAGCACAACCAAAAAACATGGTACGAGATATACAATAAAGCAAACACCTTGAAACTATCGCTAACGTAATATTATTAAGTCTGACATGTACTCTGTGTTACCTGAAGATATGAATGTGGGGTTTCTGTTTGGAAGTGAATCTCTAAGTACCTTACTACCAGTAGTCTAATAAAAAAAAAAAAAATAATAATTGGGAATTAAAATTTTTTTTAAGCATACATAGCCTAATTAATATATTCTATTAATAATAGTGTTGCGCTGATGCCATTTTTTGGCCCCGATACTTGGCTGTGCAGTATCGGTGATACCATACCAATACCATCTGTTTGAAATTGATTTGTGTGTATATATATTAAATATATGAAGAACTGCATACTACTTGGATGTAAAATAATTGCCATCATGGCTTTGTTAAGCTGCTGCCTACCTTTGTGAAGAAGGAAAAAGACTTATATAAAGTGAATCCAGTAGAACTTTTTACTGCCTACCTGGAATGGGTGACAATAGATGAATAAACTTTTGGCTCTCAAAATGGTATCGGTGCCCTATTTGTTGGTACTCGCCGATACCGATACCACCATTTAGGTGCTGGATCGGGGCCCCGCCTGACACTGGTATCGGTGCAACACTAATTAATGTATTCTATTAAATGTTAAAAGGGCAATATTATCGCCATTACTGTAAATATGTAGTAGAAATTTTACACATTCAGTAATAAAATGTCAAAGGGTATGGTATTGCAGGATGGTAATTTAAGAAGAGGAATGATTTTTAGGATTTTTGAGTTATAAAACTTTAAAAATCCATGGTTACATTTTTTAGAATAGGTTAAATTATGGTATACTGTCAGTTAACGTAACCTCCAAATGACACTACGGACTCAGCAGATTAAAAAAACAAAACATTTGACCAATAAGCTTTGAGTACAAAAAAGAGGAGTGTCTTTCAATGTTGCATATTTGTTTAGGAAAAAATCTTGTTTTCATTAGGTGCAGTTAATTATCCAAAATTGCTAGAAATGTTAGTAAGAGTACTGATATTTTATCAGATTTTTACTCAAATAAAAGTAAAAAGTACAATGCTGTAAAATTACTCATAAAAGTACATGTAAAAAAAAAAAAAAAAAAAACTGTATTAGCTGTAACTGTGTAAATGTAACTACTTACTACTCACCTCTGCCAGGATGTGTTAAAAGTTGTCAACGGTATGATTTCAGTGTATTGTTTTCCTGCTTTACCACACCTGGTGCTGATAATCACAGTTCAGTAAAGGCTTGTCATTTAGCCATAACTATACACTATATCAGATTTCATAATCACTTAACCACAAAATCAGTAATTAAACTGTGACTATTTATATGGACCCTTTATTCATAAATATGTTGTAATCAATGACATTATTAAGTATAATATATATATCATGTTACATGTATTTCTAATTTAATAGCAGTGAAATAAAGGAGTCATGAAATGCAAAGGCTTTGGGCCTCTATAATATTACATATCAACTACTGTATGCTCAATATCTTTTGGCAATATTTAGGATTATAACTCATTGGTTTACATAATACATTTTTGTTTCAGCTCATACGCTTTATTTGTCCCTAAATCCCAATGAAAATAACCTGTTGTATATTCTACAGTTCTCTCCTGAAAGACATGTAAAAATCTGGATGACTCTAAATGTTGTACTTTTGAAAGCAGACAAAACAGAAGTTATTGCATTTGGACCAGAGCCTTTAAAAAAGAAGCTAATTATTCAGCCACTTGCCTGTGTACATTTGAATAAATATTTATTTATTGATATCCAGTTTAATCTTATTTGCAAATGCATACATATATATTTCAATTATTGGCTATTTGTTTTTTGTTTTGTGGCAAATTGGGAATTCCATACCCTCCCACCAAACAGCATGAGCAGCTCCTCCCTTTACTCAGGTGTTCAATTAGGCTCAATTGGCCTCCCCTTGGGCCTTTATAGGAGGCCACAGTTGCATGTCCTGGTATCTGGTTTCTTTTGATTTGCCTGTGGCAATGGGTAGTTGGTTATGGCGATGTGTGGTTTTATTGGCGGTGTACCTTCAAGGTAAGATTTTTTTTTTTTTTCTTCAGATTTATTTTTTTTTACAAATGGCTATACTTGTTCTTATGGTTGTCAATTTTATTTTACCCTTTTATGTAGCTGAAGGAGTTCTTAAGCGTTGCCAAGTGGGCTATTATCTGTGTGGGGATGGCTCAGAATGCATCTCCCATAGATATGTCTGTGATGGGGATAAAGACTGTGAAGATGGTTCTGATGAACAGAATTGTGACTCTGCATGTGGTTCTGGTATGTTTTTAATGTTTGTGTTTAACTTAATCATGACACAACCTGAACATAATGATGCTTTAAATACTACAGATAATTAGGTTTTGATTAAAATGTTTGAA